AACTCTATGTACAATTTAGTCTCTGCGGGGTGACACCATAATGAGATCTCACACCGCCTCAAAATCTTCCTAGGGCAGCCTCTGGTTTGGCCGTGGGCAAAGACTGTTGGCCACCCCTGGGCTAGGTTAATTAATATATTTTTTCATACATAATCGGTTATTCGAAAAATAAGTTATCGTCCAAATCGATTGGGGACTGGAGTTGAACAACTCCAGTCCCCAATTGATTTGGATAAACGACGCTCTACTGTATATGATAAAGCATTAGGTGCCATCTATTGACGAAAGTAGTAACTATGATTTTAGATTTGGAATTTAGTGTAGTCTGGAAGAAAAGAATCGGCCCACAGCAGGAGTCAAGCCCTCAACCTCCACTTACCATGCGGTGTGCTGACCAGTTATGCCACCTAGACCTCCAAGCAATTCCTCTCCTTCAGACACTTTTAAACCTTGATATAACCATCCAATGGTTATCCAAGATACTGCCTGGGAACATATTCAATGCTCACAGCCTACTTAACATGATGCTAAGATGGCTGACACAATACCCGGTATGGTATATATATGTCAGCCATCTTAGCATCGTGTTGAGTAGGCCGTGGGTGTTGAATATGTCCGCAGGCGGTGTCTTGGATGGTAAATAACTTTTAAATATAACCGTTGGATGGTTATATCTAAAAGTTTAAAAGTGTCTGGAGGAGAGGAATTGCTTGGAGGTCTGGGTGGCGTAACTGGTCAGTGCACCGCATGGTAAGTGGAGGTTGAGGGCTCGACTCCTGCTGTGGGCCGATTCTTTTCTTCCAGACTACACTAAATTCCAAATCTAAAATCATAGTTACTACTTTCGTCAATAGATGGCGTCTAACACCTTATCATATAATTTCCAAATTTAATGTGAGAATACGATGTGCGAATTGCCTTCTAATCATTGGATTGGTGGTATCCGCTCACTCTGTCAGTGGATGGCTATATAGGAGAGACTAAAAGTGTGAGTGAGGAGGAAAGTCATGGGTAAGTTCAATCAGGATCTGTATAAATTGAATGAGTCATTTACAAACAAAACATTTAATACATAAACAGTATAAAGTTTACAAATGACGAAACGAAATAAGTTATCCCTGAAAAAAATGGGATTCACCTCAACTTAACTCTAAATGCTGAGTGAGAGAGTGTTTACATAGTTTTACGTGACAACATCTCTGATCAATGACCTCTATACATGGAGACAGGAGGGCTGGATGGTAGCAAGATGGAACTTCTATGCCTGACTTCGTTACTATCGAATCCCCACATTAATGTTTGTTGCTTGTAATCTGCCTGATTATTAGTTAATGGTTGGTTGTGTATTAATTTATATTTATCACATTAATGTGATGATGTGTTGTTGTTAATGCTAATAATAATAATAATAATTACTTAAGAGTTAAATAAATACGTGTAGGGACTTATATTTTATGATAGTCCTTAAATTTAATATTAAAAAGATACATGTCTATAATATATTTAAAAAGTAAACTCAATATATACACATGCACATTAATATAATAAATCAAATAACTATTTTGAATGGTTTATTATGCAAGTGACTGCAGAACAACCACTCATTTCACCTTAAAATCCAACACTAAAATTACAGCAAACATGTGGCAATAGACTGTAAGGCACTGATTTGGCCTAAAAATGATATGCAAGTCATCCCAGGTTTAAGAAGCCTTAGCATGATAGAGCTGTCAGTGACACATTGTTTAACACACAATTCATCTCTTTTTGGACTTCTAACAGACTGTTTGATAAATGTTACATTTCCAATAATACTGTAATGTAATATTTTACAACAAAACCCACCAACTTAAGATTTGATAGTGATTTATTTTTCAAGATTAATTAACTCTAAAAAAACAAGAACAAATAATCAAATTACTTTAAAATTCAGATTATCTACTTATAATTCTAAATAAATAATAACAGATTTGTTAAAACTGGATGAGGAATTCTAATACACCACCACAATGCCTTGATCTAGTCCAGTGCAAGGTTACTTTTCTAGAAAAACTAATGTTTTTGATCTAAGACGGGTTACCAAACTATGGCCTGTGAGGTCAGTTCATCTGTCCTGTTGTCACACTGCACAAACGGACTAAAATATAATTATTTATATGAAAATATTATAGGTAGTAGATAAATTTACTATGTAAAAAAAAATTAAAATAAGTGTAAGTAAAAGTGCCAAAATTGATCCAATCTGATTTTTGCATCCAACAGTAATATAATTTTTAGATAAATCAGTGAAATAAAAAATTTGGCTATGTTTTGTGACTGAATATCAGAGTGCTTTTTATGTAAGTACCTGCAATGATGTTTCTAAGGGAAGCGATTGTGAGCTTGCTGCAGCAATTGTGTTTGTGTATTGATAAATAAATATGCTGATTGTCTTTATTTATTGTGTATTCAGTGTGCTGTACTGAACAAAATGGTTATACAGCCCACACTTGTCATTCTCTCATTTATATAACCTGCTGTGAAAAAAGTTTGGTGATTCCTGTTTTAAAATAATCATCAAATATTATTTGAAAATGGAAGTTAAAGAACAAGATATACAGTACTTTGATTCAAAACTACCAACCAGATGTGTGTCGATGTAATTAAATCAAATAGGGTAATGGCACCAATAGTTGATCATTTAAAACAGTTTTGGACTTCGATATTTTTATTACCATGTGTAGTAATACAGATTGCAAATTTTATGTGTTATAATATCTGTTCTGCATCCATTTTTTTCAGCAAAACTTTTTTGTAGACCGTATATAAACTAGATTTTCCTGGAATCTTTCATCCTGTAACAGAATCATATTTATACTAGGCACTCTCTTGATGTTCATTGGGTCTTTCCCATTATGTAATAGTTCCATTTTTGAATAATACTTGATAACACTTTTAATTTTGAAATTAAAAGTGTTCATTTTTCTAGATAAGTAATTGGGTGCTGGACTAGATCAAAATACTGTGATGGTATTTGTTATCTAAATTTACACGTATATCTTTTATATAACTAATAATTTTATTTTAAAACTTGAACTAAAGTTATATAACAATAATATATATATATGTATATATATTTTACATGTATTAGAGCAGCTCTTCTGAAATTTTATGTTCACAGGCTGATACTTTTGTGAAACAATAAAAAATAACTATAAAATAGATCAGCACTGATCTGTTTTATTACTTTCTAATAACAACGAGCAATTATTTACTGTGACATTGTCACAATGCATGCTGCAATTTTTAATTTAAAATATATGCTCTCCACCGCAAATTAGTACTGCAGTGTCTTGCTCCTGTACATCATACTTTTCTGTTAGCAATGGAGTCATGCTGGTCTAACTCCTTTCAGGGGAAAGATTTTGAATTAAAATAACGTGACTTCCAGTTTGCAGTGGAAGTTAGTTTATATATAATTAATTGGGCCTCCTGCCCCTAAGTTTTCCATATCTGGTCTTGAATTTCATTTATCTATTACTGTTCTCAAGATTAAGGAAAGACAGACAGATGGACAACAGTGGGAATTTATAAGTTACAATTTTTTTTCAATTTGCAGCCCAATAACATGGCCTTAAATAGTTTGAATCGAACTGTGTTACCTCCCAGATTTTTACATTTTTACTTAGGACACCTTGAAATGTTGAGAAATGCAGAAAATTTGGGTAATTTCTATATATATGGATGTTAGTGTGGGGAGGGGGCATGATTTTGTTCCTCCTGTTTGAAGCTTAATAACTTTTGTGCTTTTTGTTGAAAATTTCTGAAATTTTGCCTGAAGTTTGTTTATTAGGGGGATTGATGCTATTAAATTTTGGTGGTTAAAGGTCAAGGGGATAGGAAGTCACGTCTCTCTCCAGTAGTGTCTGACTTAATGACAATTTTATTACTTAACTTAATGACTTGTTATTAGCATTTACAAATTTTTATACTATTCATCTCTACATTCAAAATTAAGNTTATAATAGTTAAAAATATAAAAAAGTTGTATTAATAAAATACGTTGAGAGATGACGCTACCAAAATTTTTAATGTTGCCGGGAAAGTTGAGCAACTCGTTTCAGATTTATTTAAATACTAATGTCATCCTGGCGAATGTGGTAATTAATATATTTTTATCTTGTTGATATATATGTTGGTTTTTTTTTTCTATCTTGTTCCTTAAATGTGGCTAAACCTTGTTGCTTGTCCACCAAAATTTTTAATGTTGCTGGTTTATTTTATAAAGAGTAATTTTCTAGAAATGTTTTAAGGTTGATAATTTATTTGTTCTGTTTTTTTGCAGAGTTAATCCTGTAAAATAAATTGTTTTCAAATCTGTATTGAATTGATCAGTTGAATCTGGATTAAAAATGCTAGTTTCCAGTATAGAACAAATTCTGGAAGATTAAATGTATAAGTAAACTATTGTAATATGCGAAAAATGTGCATTTTATCCAAATTGTTATATTTTCATTTATTGTGTCTTTACGATATGTTGATTAACAATACAAACATCAGCACAACCACAACAAATTGCTATTTTAGGATATTGTGTTTTCCATGAATGGCTAAACCTCTGTACATCTGTCTGGCATGAAATTGATGAAGTGTTGGGGAATTCTTTGCTGCTATTCAATCACAGCAGTCACTTGCTCCCCTAATTGTTTTGACACTTGAGTTTAGTTGTAGAAGTCTCAATTTGAATACTTGATAAATATTTTTAACTTAATTATACACTTTAATTTTCTAATGGAGAAAAGATGTTGTGTTTGAACATTAAATTTTTTTCCTAATTTTAAATGCAGAAAATTAATGTTTATCAAGAACTTTTTTCAACAACTAAGCTGTAAATTTATTATGATTAAGCTAATGAGGAATTAAGACAAATGTCAGAATATTGAATATTCATTTTTTTTATTTTTAACTTACTTTAAAATGTATATTTGATTTTTATAAAAGTATTGAAAATTTCTTAACAGCAAGAACAGCAAGAAGTGCAAAAAAAGAAAAGATCTTTCAGGAAATATACCTATCGAGGTGTAGATTTGGATCAACTCCTTGATATGTCAAAGTATGTTGAATAATTTTTGCAGTTTTTTTAATATTTAATTAACATGTGAAAAAGTTTCAAAAGATGCTATTTAACATTGCTATTTTTGTGTGTTATGTATTCAGTATAAATTAGATACAGTTAAACCTGTCTATCTTGAATCTCAAGGTAATGAAAGTTTGAGATAGACAGATTTCGAGGTCTAGAGGTTCCTACACAGTAAACAGTTTGATTAGATGTATGGTATTGTATAAATAAAATATTTTTGACATACCTTAACAGAAATAGTTGCCAATAGTTTTTGATGTCTGAAGTTTTTTGACCAATAAGAGACAAGCCAAACTTGAACCAATCAGAGAAAAGCAATGTAATTGCAACTATAAAATGTATTGCAAGAGACGTTTCTCAAATACAGTTTGATATCAAAATGAAGTTGCTGAATTTGTAATTGATACTTCAGTCCATAATTTGATATATAGAGGTTTTGGGAGAAAACTATTTGAAATAAACATAGAAAATGTATTGAATTTATGCTAAAAATGCAGGGGAGAGAAATTTTTGAGATAGACAGGTTCAAATATATATATGTAATATCATTAAAAATCAATGAGAATATGCCAAGTATGTTGTTATTAAATAGAATGGAACTGAAATTCATTTTAATTTAAAAGGTTATAATTATTATTTGTAATGCATATACACTCATGAAAGGAAAAAATCATTGTAGTCATTGCTGTTAGTTTTATTATTACATTTATTATTTCAGAAAATAAATTTTCCTGTAAGAATACTTCAGTAACCATACCACAATAGAAACCTTAAAATGCAGTAATATTTTAAATTTTCATTTAAAATGAAGAGAACATAAACATATTTCTGATGCATATTATTTAAATATTGCAATTCTAGAACAAAAAATTCCAAACAAGAATGCTGGTCTTTTAAATAGTATTCTAATGAAAAAATAGGCAATGATTAAAATACCATAAAAAATGTCTAAATAAAATAAAAAGATAACAAAAAACTTAGAATAAATACCAACAATGATAAAATAGAAATAAAATTTTAAATATATACAAAAATGCAAAATAGATAAATGTTTTGTAATTTCTGTATATGTTTCCATATTTTTACCCAAGTGTCGTTTGGAGTTCAGATCTAGAAGTGCTTTCCAAGCTGCCAATAACATCTATTCTTTGTAATTAATATACAGTGGGTGATCGGTTAACGAACAAATCGGATAATGAACATTTTCGCGAAAGATTTTTATGATTGGACAATGAGCACTTCACTGAACAAACGTAAAAAGAAGCGGCGGAAATAGCAAATACTGGTTGATTTTCCATTGTCTTCGGGTAACTTTTTGGAGCGTGGGAGATGTCAACATCGACGCTTAACCTGATATATACTGATCAGATAGTATTCCTTGAACTTTGAAATATTCCCTTGTAATTCCAGCCTTTTATTTTTCTGACAAACAATTCTTTTATAGTATTTGCAAGACTGTCGGGTGGGCACTCGTTAAGTTTTGAGTTGGTTTTTATTTTTGAAAGGTGAGAGTATAATAGCAAAGGTAGAGTGGGCAGTATGGTTGAACAAATCTACAGTAGGGTACAGTTCAATCTTATGTAAGAAAGATACTGTATAATTAAGAAAACTCAAGTAGCTAAAGGAGTAACAAATATCACATCTGAGAAATAAAGAACATTGAAGAGCTCATAATGGAACCTGAAACAGATCTGACAACAGAAGAACGCCAAGAACTCTTGAATGAAGAACACCAAGAAACTCGGCGAGATATGTTTTATTATGAAAAAGAGGATTAATGCCAATATCTGCTATTAATTAAAGATCTTTTGAAGAAGTGGGGGATGTCAGATCAGCTGTCTTAGAATGGCATACAAATCAGGTTAAGGTTAATAAGCTTGGGGATCTCTACAATTACAATGCTATTAATTCTGAAAATCCTGAAGAAGAGAGAAAAGCAATCGACATTAGACAGATTATTTAACCCCCCACAAACAAAAAAAAACATGAGTAATAAAAATGCAAGTCTGTGTATATATGTATTTTTATTATTACATATAAATAAATGTAGTAAGAAAGTATATATATTTTTTTTGGGGGTCTCCAGAACGAATTAATCAAATTCCCATATAAACCTATGGTAAATTGATAATCGGTTAACAAACAATTTAAATAGCAAACAAAGTCTTTGAATGGATTATGTTCATTAACCGATCACCCACTGTATTGTCTTATGGGTATTGATTTATAAATGTAATTGCAAAGACTGTAACATGTTTTTGGCATTTTGGAAAGTGTTTCTAAATCTGGATTCCAAATGATGATGGGAAAAAATACAGAATCATATGGAGAAATTACCAAACATTTGCCTATTTCACATTTTTGTGTATATTATAAATTTTATTTCTATTTTTATTGTTGGTATTTATTCTACATGTTTTGTTGTCTTTTTTTATTTCCTGCAATTTATTTCCTTTTTTTTTTTGTAATATTTAAGAGTCAGCACACTCTCATTTTGGATTTTTTGTTCTAGAATCGTAATATTTAAATAATATGCATAAAAAATACATTTATGTAATATGAAATATTTTCTTTTATATTATACACAAATTTCATTATTATGATTGTCATTTTATTTTATCAAAATTTATTTAGAATTGTAATATATATATATTATGATGGTCATACTGAAAGATGTGAATAATAATTTTTTATAAATCAAATTAATCTATTTTTTGAAAAACAAATACATAACATACTTTTCAAACTTTTTTTTTCCACTATTGTGGTAGTTTGAAAATTCTCTTATGAACTCTGTTTCCTGCAGTATGAAAAAACTGACACAATGCTTTCCTGATGTCCTGCACCATTTCATTGTGTGGGTCTCACATATTTTTCCTTCACAACACCAAAAAGATGATAATTGTAGGTTGCTAATTTGGGATTGTAGACAGGTGCAGGAAAACTTCTCGTTGCATTTATTGAATTTCCTCCATGGTGTAAAGAGCAGTGTGTGGCCTCATATTGTGCTGCAGGATGATCATCTTCCCAGGATGTTTGTCATGCAATGCACAACAGAGTTTACATACCAAGCAGAATTAATGGTTTGCCCAGGTTCAAGAAAATTACCCCAATCACCCCATCTGCATCCAAGAAAATGAAACTCTGCGAATGGCCAATATAAGGCTGATCTTTGGAATTCATCTTTAAAATGTTTTACGCATTTTCTAACACAGCTGTCACCCATACATTTCCATATGCATGCTGAAGTTTCTGGTGAATTTCTGCAGCAGAGATCTCTCTTTAATGAGAAATTCAATCACAGCACACTGGCAAAATGAAACATCAGTTGCAGCCATTTTGTATCAGTAATGATGTCACAACTCACTCATGGCACTGTCTATAGTCTATGAATTATGACAATGTTCTTGGTTTTTCATAATTAGTAGATTGAAATTTATAAAAAAAAATTGTTGCTCATGACTTTCAATTTGACCTATGTAGATTAAAAGTTATGATTACTTTTATAAAAATAACATATTCATGAATTTGAAATTTAAATAAACATGCAGATTTATTAAAATTCATAAAGAAATATAAATAACTATACATATAAGCAAGACCTTTTTTACCTTTTTAGCTGCTTTTAATGCATAAAAATGCAATATTATTTATATCTATTCTATGTAGAAAAATATATTTTTCAAAAGCAAAATGCTCAGAAACCAAAACTAACACTTTACAATGAAGTACTATGAATAATCACAGCACACTGGCAAAATGAAACATATGCTGTTTAACTGTAGTTATTTATATTACCAGGCGTGTCCGGTACCGTTTTGGAAAACTCGCATAAAAAATCTTTTTTCAAAACAAAATTTATTTTTACATGAAAGAGCATGTTGGAAACTATTTTTCTACATAGTTACCACCATTGTTCGGACATTTGTCATATCGGAAAACCAACTTGTCTATACCCTCTTCAAAGAAAGATGCCGCCGGTGAAGACAGCCACTGCTGAACATTGATTTGTGACAATCTCATGTAAAACAGTTTTTGAAATTTGTGGAAACTCATCACAAAGCAATCTTATTGTGAAGCGTCTGTTTTCAAGAATTTTCTCATTCACTTTTGCAACCAAATCATCATTGACAACAGAAGGCTGGCCACTCCGTGCTTCGTCATGGACATTGGTGTGTCCAGCATTGAATTGTCGAACCCACTTTCTCACCATTCCATCACTCATTACATTTTCACCATAAATCTCTACAAGTTGACGATGAACTTCAACTGGCTTAACATTCTTTGCATTCAAAAACTGTATTACCGAACGCACTTCACAGTCGGTGGGATCGGCAATCATCTTAAACATTTTGAACGCTCACTAACACATGGAAAAACAACACAATCTGGCTCTAATGGCGTCACTGGACTGACAATCAACCAGAGACACTTGTGTGCAGGTACTGAACTGCGATACTACTGCTGCAGTGGCGGTAAAACGAAACGGTACTTACTTTCCAGACATGCCTCGTATTATTAATTAACAAAATTAGTTTTATGTATACATAGCTATGTTCTGTTTGCTTAAATTACATCAATTATATGACATTTGGCATATTGTACAGAAATATGTAAATCTCAGATAATTGAAACTTGCAATTTTGTCTTTTGAATTTCAAACTAATGGCATTTCCTGTATTTAAAATGTAAAAAAATTAAATCCTTTTATATTATGCTCTGTTGATATGTAATTTTGCCATATTTTAAATATATAGTTCTAGATATGGTTAATAAAAAATACTTTAAATAAAACTAATTTAAATTTATTGCTGTAAAATATATGATTAATAAAAATAATAATGAGTAATTATCAATTTTATTATAAAACATTTTAAACTTTTAGCAATCAACTGATGGAACTACTACACTGTAGAGCAAGGCGACGTTATGCAAGAGGACTTAAGCGAAAACCATTGGCTCTTCTTAAAAAGTTAAGAAAAGCTAAAAAGAATGCAGGTCCTTTAGAAAAACCTGAAGTTGTCAAAACTCATTTACGTGATATGATAATAATTCCTGAAATGGTTGGATCCATTGTTGGAGTTTATAATGGAAAAACTTTTAATCAAGTTGAAATTAAGGTAACAAATTACATATTTAGCTTAAGCATTTTAATTTTGAAAATATGATTTAATAGTTATCTTTTTATGATTGTGGTACTGGTACATGCATTGGAAAAACTGAAAATTTGTTTATTTTTAAAGAATTATTTGTAATTTTAATACACGTTTTCATCATTTTAAATAAAATATATTAAACATAACATAACACAATGATTATAAAAATTGTAATTTATCTATGATATCTACCTAGTTATTTCATTAAAGAAAAATCTATTACAGAGAAGATTAAAATATTTAGAAAGTAAACTGGAAAATTTATTAAAAGTTGTGATTACAAAAAATTGTTCTTTCCTATTTTATAAAAAAAAAACAAGAGAGAATATACATGGAGTGAGCAAAAAATAACTGTATAAAGCACACTTTTAAACAAAGATTTCCTCAAGCACATACAAATTATATCAATCACACGGTGGCACAAACATTAAAATTGTCGACTATGATGGATAATATAAATCTTTTATTCCACTAATTAGGACACATGTTTGAGGATTTAAGATGATGTAATTTCTTTTCTTTGCCTTTCCATGCTAAAATTTGTTTTTAGAAGGTTAAGGCATTTCAGATAGGAGGTGATAGACCATCTTATAACTGACATGGTCCTACTAATTTTTATTTTTGAATTCATATAAAAACACTTTGCTAGTAAGAATTTTGTGACTAATGATCAAGTGTAGAAAGCAATAACTCCAGGTACACTAAGTTTGATATTAATTGTTTTTATACTAGATTTGATATTCTGGTGTTATGCTGGAATAAGTGTTTAGACAATAGCAGAAAATTTTATAGTATGATGATTTCATATAGCCTTTCTGATCTGATTTATTGAACATCTTGTATATACAATTGTTAAATTATTATAACTTAGCATATAAATATTGTAAATAATCATTGTATGAAAATGAGTTTTTCATTTTCGTATATTTAAATTTGTCTTTTTCCAGCCTGAAATGATTGGTCATTACCTTGGTGAATTTAGTATTACGTACAAACCTGTTAAGCATGGTCGACCAGGCATTGGTGCCACTCATTCTTCAAGATTTATTCCATTGAAATAATTTTGAATTATGTATGTTTCACACAATAAAGACAAAGAATGAAAAAGTAGTTTTTGTTTGGATATTTCTTTTTTTATACTTAAAACATTTTGGGACAAAAACAAAGAATTTAAGGAACATTTTTTTCTTCTAAAACTTTTATTATATTAGAACTTGTCTAGCTTTTCCCATATTATGTAATTGTTAGAGGATGAATTAAAATTAAACTAATTTGTAGTTAATCTTCTCGGACAAATAGTTACAGAATAACATTTGTTTTTAATACATTTATTTGCATATTTCTAAGATATTTTCATTTTTTTCAATGAAATAAAAGTTAGTATTTCAAAATATGTACTACTTTAACACTACATTCAAATAGGGATCTGACTGTTCAAAACTTTTCAAATCAAAGTTGATTTTAGAAGCCAAAATTAACTTTAGTTTTCATATTCTATTTACAAATGCTGTTTAAGTGAAACTAAAAATTTTTCAAATTCTTAACATTATTAAAGCAATGTTTATTGTAAATATTTTTATATACAATATGTCAAACTTTTAACAGTTATAGATCTTAAATTAGATAGGTTGATTGAAAATTTGAAATTAGTATAACTTATTTAGTCAATTTTACAATTTAGAATACAAATATTTGAAACTGAAAATGTTTATTCATATCAAATCATATCTTAAGTAAATTTTGGTTTATTCATAAAAAAGTGGACAATTTATCAAATAAAAGTAAAAATAGAATGTTCAATGTTTTAAATGGAAGGACATACTAAAAAATGTTCATGTACAGAGAAAAGGATCAAAGCACTTCAGATGGAAAAAAAATAGATGAGTGATATAGAATTGGTCAAATAAAATTTATTTACAAAGATGATGAATTTACACATCAGGTGAGTTTTTGTTACTTTTTTTTAGCATTCACAATTTTCTAAAGGATTTATTCTGAACAGCAAACAGTTCTATAGTTACCTAATCTGCTTACTCTGATGTGTTATGGATTTTGAAATAACATCTCTCCTATTACAAGAGCATTTTGAAGTCAGAAGATGGCTGCACTT